GCGGCATGGGGAAAGGCCAAACAGTTGGCATGGGACAGAGGATACGATTCCGAAGGCAAGACATGCTACATCTGCTACTACGATGCCGGGAACTGCGCTTATGCTGGTTTCATGAGAATGCTTTTGACTCCGGAGGAGCGCCAAGAATGCTACAGAGGGTCAGCCTTGCCCAAGGAGGAACTCCTGGGTGACACGATGGAGCTGGCACTCGGGCTTCTTACAATTGCAATGAGACACCCAAGTCATTTTCCAAATTGGGGTGGCCTTGAGGGGGCAAATGCGTGCGTGAGGGGGATCGAAAGATCATTCTTCCGCTACGCGTCGGCCGAAGCTATCGAGCTGATCACGGTTGACTCCCCGCGCAAGAGGACACCGCCCAAGAAGAATGAACAAGTCGCTGAGATCGTCAACAACATGTCCGCTGACCTCGTGATTGACTTCACAGTGATCGTCGATGGCGATATCTACCCCGTAGAGATTGCAAGGACCGACGAGACACAGGCCGCTGACAACGTCACGGACGATCCAGGGGTCTCTGTTGCTCCACCAATACCTGCACAGGATGTAGATGTGGATGCACAACCCGAAGAAGAACAAGGTGCAGAAGACCCTGATCCCAGGCAGATGATTCGTGAAGGATTTGTCGCGCAGCTTCAGGACTATGTGGGAATACTTGCTCAGGGCGAAATGTCGGTCGGAAGCAATAGCCTCACGTTCTGTATCGCTTGTGGCAGTGATCAACACCATCTGTCCAATTGCACGGAAAATGCTGCGACCCGGGATCTGATACTTCGGAGCATCCAGATCATCAAGGAAAGCCTTCTTCGATATCCACGTCGAATACCTCCACAACAAGATGAGCCAATGGACGTTGACACCACAGACCATGTGAGTGTTGCATCCTCGGACCGACGACCCAAGGCCAAAGCCCGACCGCGACGCGGAGGCGAAGCCGTACGGGGTGATGTGGTCTTGATCCGTTACGAGAACAAACACAATCTCTGCACGGATGTGGAGAACCGTCGGGGCTTACATGATGCTTGTGGTGTACCTCTGCAGGACATGGGACCAGAGAATAGCCAGCGGGTGGTGGACCTCATTGAGCAGCTTTCGGACCATCGCGACCGACGCCTACCTCAACGAGGAGACCGTCCTAGCTTTGAATATGATGATACTATTCAGGGCTACACCAATGCAGGCTACGAATCCATCGGCGGCGGAAGGCCAATCCGATGCGGGATTCTCGACCTGATCCCAACCAAGGGTGCAAGCTTCATCCACAATCGATGGGACCTCGTGAACGAAGTTGTCCTTCGCAACATCACCCATCATCGAAGAAGGAACGCGGATTGGGCGCTATCATGCATTCAATCTGACCTGCGTCACAGAATCGCCAGGCGCCCAGGCTCGGAATGGCTTGACAACAGGTGCCAAGTGGCATTCAGCAGCGTCATTCGATGTGATGAAGGAGGGTGGGTGCTGATCGATGATTTGGTGAGGCATGAGCAACTATGGACCCATGACAGCAGACGCATCACCGAAGCGGTCTCAAGGACCGATGATCAACAGAGGAAGAGAGTGTACAATGAAAGACTCCAGCTATTGTTCCAAGGGAACATGCTCGCAGCCACGAGACGCCACAAGGCCAAGATTCGGCTGCAGTTCCTGGGAGTGAGAGTGAAGGACCCCGGCACGGAGACTCTTGGATCCGCAGGCTCGAACATGTTGGTATCGATTCCTGACCAGATCACAGAGATCCAGAACAATGATCGTTGCCGGCACAGCCAGAGGTACCTGAACGTTTGCAACGGCTGGGTGAAGCCATGGGCAGTTCGGGCTACGAGTGGTCACTCTGCGCACTCAGATCCCCAGAACAATTTGCTTCAGTTGGACAAGAACAGGTTCGCAATATCTCCATCTATGACCCTCTTGCAACGTCTTGGAGGCGCGTTCCACGCTACGGCATGCCGCAACCTGGATTCCATTGTCACGCAAGGCATCATGCCTGGTTCGGAGGACCCCGACGGGGACTTCGACCATAGGCGCCAATTTCGAGGCAACCAAGGCGGCAGACTCCACAGCTATTGGGGGGTATTCGCACCGTTCGATCACCGGAATGCGACGACCAAGATGCGGGTACATGGACCACAAGCCAAGCACATGCCGCTGGCGGTCCTCCATGTCCCTTCGCAGGACCTTGCACGAGAAGATGGACGTATCACAGACAGCGGCATCATCATCGTTGGCCGAACGATACCGTTCCAGTTCGTCAAGGAGGTATGGTTTTGCGTCCCGAATCCTCAAGATACACACTCTTTCGCTCTGGTGGAAAAGATCTACGATGAACGATTGGAGAAAGAGATGGTGTTGGACTACTATGCATCACCTTTGCTCCCTGAATTCGAGAGATACCGAACGCCAAGCAAGATCATGGAATTGCTTTGCGAGATGCCTCCTGGACCCCACGACACCAGCAAGGAGCAGATCATTCGAGACCTTACGACTGTCCTGGAGTCCCACAGGGAGAACACGGTTCGGCATCACTACATGGACAAAGGGATCAAGTTTGTCATCAAGAATTGGCGACCCGAAGACCTACGCAGAGACGAGGATGGAAGGAGAATGAGGGTGTGCCCGGCATGCTACAACATCGTTCCAGCATGCTTCTCCCGATGCACGTCCTGCTGGTCACAATTCGTTTCTTGCGGATACTACCAAGGTACTCCACAACGGGAGACTCCTACGGAGATCCCCAGTGACTTCATTGCTCAGACAATGGAAGCTGCGGCAGCAGCAGTGCCTGAGGCGACCGTCGAGGAGCAGGAAGCCATGGAGACAGAGACCGTTGCGGAACCTGAGGAAATCCCAGAGCCATCTGTCGTCGCGGAGGACGATCCAGAACAGGAACCTGATGAAGAAATGGACACAGAGCCAGGAGAGGACTTTGATGACGCAGTACCAGATGCAGTTGCACAGGAACGACGTCCCGTCCTCATCGCCGGCCAGTCTTTGAACATCGATCCTGAACTACAACTCGCACGTACCGCCATGCAGCCATCCTACTACCCAGGAAAGCGAAATGCCCATTGCATTGACGCCAACATGGCCGCTCTTTCGTATATGGCATTCGTGGTGTGCAGAACCATCTACAAGGCTTGGTCAGGATTCGCGAAGTGGGCGACTATGCCGTTGTTCCAGATGAAGGAGAATTTCGCACTTGGCCAACTCTATGATGTGCTCGGAAAGTGGGGATCTTTGGCTGGAGTGGACAGAGAAACGGGTGTGAGCAGGGATGTGACTGACGAGGAGATCATTCGCTTTGCCAAGGAGCCTGGGAACCTCAAGCAGTACGATCCCAACGGGACTTACACTTTGAAGCGCTTCCGGACGAATCAGATGCTTTCGTTGCTTACACGGGGAGCCAACATGATGGGAATCGGCAGGGACAACTTCAACCCTACTACGTACTTGAAGAGCAATAGGGATGAAGATGTGAAGGCTATGCACTTCTGTTGCCTGAACGTCCTGTGCGAGGTGATTCCGATGGTGACAGGACACCAACAATTCTCAGTGCTACGACCAACGCCAACTGGACCGGTGGACTTCCTGTACATCGACCCCGTCGGTATCCTGCTGACTCATGCCGATCATTCAGTCCAGACCATTGGATTGCTGGTGGACCACAATGTGCAAATGCCTGCGCATTTCATGGACAGATTGGTCAGATCCAAGGCTGAGAGACAGCAAAATCCGACAACCAAACGTACTGAAGCCCTACATCACATCTCGGCCGCTGAGTATCTCCCTGCGGGTGGTACTTCCATCCTGGACACGCCCGTCACCACGGAGGAACGTGCAAGCGCTTCTTCGGCAAAGGGACCTTCAAAAGGGCGTGAAAGGACCGGAGATGAGCCACATGGTGGCTGGAACGCCAATACCTACCAAGACTACATCGCCGGCAAAGGCCGAAACAAAGGCAAGGACAAAGGAAAGCCAAGGAACCAGTATCCAGAGGAGAACCTCCGGCCCTGGGACCGCGATCCTGCGTCCACGCGAAGATGGAGGTGAACCAATGCATGATCTACCTCATCTTCCAGATTGTGACCTCTGTGCTTCGCCCGTGGAATTCCATCGCGAATGCTTCTTTCTTCGGTGACGCCTGATTCGTTTGCCATTTCAGGGGATCGTTACTGACGTAGATGAGTGTCACAACGTTTCTAATTGGGATGCAAAGCTCTGATTTTTCAATGTCAACGTTGCGGCGGAACATTTTCTGTTGTCCTATCGTGCCATCTTCCGGGTGAGCAGCGTCGGAGACGCAACTCATGGGGGGTGCGAACGGACTGCGATGCCTTGTCAAGTTCTAAGGTGTCACTATAAGAGCTGTGAGCAAGACCGTGTAAAGTGCAAGAGAAGGGGGCACGCTACGCGTCCCTCGACTCTAGGAGTAAGCTTGTGGTCGTGCTACGCACACCGCATCGCTTCTCCTTACCTTTCTATGTGACCGCCCACGCAACGTTTGGCTCAAGTCAATGCCCATAGCTAAGTGCTATATGTGTCTTCTATCCTGAGCAATCAGAGCTATCCCGTGCACAGACGAACCGCCGCCGGCAGTGAGTGCAAAAGGAACGGCCGCCGGTTCTGCCTGCATAGGATTGCACGTGTGGAAGTGAGAGAGAGACAGGGTCCCAGTCTGTGGAGAGTGCAAGCCAGCCACACCTATTTTCATTACAGCTCTGGTGGGGAGAGCAGCAACATAATCGAGATCAAATCCCCACGCAACATTCGAGAACCCGCATAATATCATTGCCAGGCAGCCTCTATAGAAGAGGAGCCCTTGAAGGAGCACTACTACACATGATTATGATGGCGATGTCATTAGTTTGCTTACTATGATGATTGTGATTACCATGATTATTATGATTATGTTCAGTAATTAGCTGTTATTGTTGATTCAGGCCACAATCGTCTATCTGAGCCGAAACCTCGGGCGAGCCCAGGAGTTGCTCCAACTGGTGCGCCAATTTACCGAGGTGCGGGTGTATATGTATGTGTTTATGTGTGTATGTGCGTATGTATGTAACCACGTATGTATGCATATATGTATGTATGTACGTAAGTATGTAAGTAGGTATTGACGCATGCATGTAAGTATGTACAGGGTTTAGGTTTGATGTCATGTATCGGGTCTACTGTAGTTGAACTTGAGGGATTATGTTTAAAGCATCGAGTTTACGGTCGCTAAAGGCATTGGGTTTCGGGTTAGAGTACCAGAGCTACGGTAGTTAAAGTACCAAGTTTTGGGTTAAGGTAAAGATTTGGGTGGAATTATAGGCTCTAGGCTTGAAATACAAGGATTTAAGGTCCAAGTTAGGGTTTGAAGTTAAAGGAATTGTTTAGATAGGGCTATGGTGTAAGGCCTTAGTACGCTGCAGGGGGTTATTCATCTGTACTTGAGCTTTGAAACGATCGCAATTGAATAAGCGTCTTTGCATGTCTTCAGAAAATGCGAAAGTAGGTGAGTCGGCCATGAGATGGTCATCGAGGGTCTCGAAGTAGGCTGTAATTAACGATTTGTACGGGGTTTACCGAGGTTTGAAAGGATTGTTCAATCAACCATAAGCTTTTCTTGGGAGACACATCAAGACATGAAATCATTCACCTCCCTGCGTTTTGCCGTGTGGCTTTCAATCTAGCGTCTGACATTGCTGGGTGTTGCCATTCGTGTGCAGACAGCACTGTCTTCGATTTCCACGGGTCTCTAAGATAGGGGCCTAAAAAATACCAATACGATTGTGGGGTTCCTTATTATGGTTATAGTACAATGGGCCCCAAAACCCTATTCTAATCATTGAGGCCCCTATATTACTTGACTTAGTCGGAGTGTTAGGACACTTAAAACCCAACCCCTCAAGCCCTGAACCCCGAAAGCCCTAAACCCAAAGGCCTAAACCCATAGCCCTAGAGCCTTCAAAACCCCTGAACCCCTATAGCCCTGAACCTCTACAGCCCTAAATTCAAAGGCCTAAACCCCTATAGCCCTGAAGCCCTCAACCTCGAAACCCCTGAACCCTCAAAGCCCTAAACCCAAAGGCCTAAAGCCACAGGCCTAAACCCCTAAAGCCCTTCACTCAAAGGCCTGGACCCCTAAAGCCCCCAACCCAAAGGCCTAAACCCCTAAAGACCCTCCAAACCCCTTAAACCTTAAACCCTAGACCCAAAGGCCTAAACCCCTAAAGACCATGGTAGTCTGAGCCCCTCAAGCTCTAAACCCCTAAACCCCAAACCCCTAAGCCCCAAGGCCTAAGCCCTTAAAGACCATAGTAGTCTGGAGGCTTCAATAAACAAGCCCCTATAAACCCTAACCCCCTAAACCCCTTTAGACCCGAAGCAAAGGAGCTCAACAAAACAGAAAAATCCTTGAACAAAGCAGAAAAACTTTAAAAAAACTTTAAAAACCTTTAAACATACAGAAAACCCCTAAAGACCCTCAGCTCGACTTTGTCCAGGAGTGGACCGGGCCTACCCCAAAGGCGACCAAGAAAGTGCTGCAGAACATTCAGAACCGGAGGACCGGCTAAAGGCTTTAGGGTTTAGGGGGTTTAGGGGTTTAGGGTTCAGGGCTTAGGGGTTAAGGGTTTTGGGGTTTAGGGGTTTAGGGTTTTAAGATGTAGGATATACTATGATCTACTGTAGTTAGAAGCGGAGGACTGGCAAAAGGCCCGAATATACTTTATTAGATGTATAGTGTAGTATAGGAAAATATAGTATAGACGTGTATTTCGAAAAGTATAACAGAGTATAGTATAGTTTAGTTTAGTAATAATCTACTACAGCTAGTTACTATAATATGCTATAAAGTTACTGTAACAAATTCAGTATGGTCAGCTACATCATACACTAGAGTTAGTTGATACTTTGCTGTAGTCGGTTGCTCGAATGTACGGTCATATACTACAATGCACTGGATATAAGCTAAGCCCAATGAAGGGGTATTGGGTTCTGTGGATTATTCAGGAACTTAGTTTAAGCCAACATCATCACCATATAGGGCCGGCATATTTACGATTATAGTAGCAATCTATATCCAGTTAACTGGGATAGGAAACGTTCAGATTCTGTTATGTTGACCTTCGAATCCGAGCGGGAAGGAGACTTAGGTGGGCCTGGTTTACTGCTTCAGCGCTTTTCGGCTTTTGTGGAATAGGGCTCGACTGCGGGGCTTTCAGAAATAAACCTTGAACCCGAACCAAAGCCGGAAACTAAAAGCTCCGAAGCCAGGAACGCAGCTGCTGGACGGAGGTAGTTGGCTGTAGTGTGGCACAGCTGCGTGCTGATGCCACGAAGTGTAGAATCATGAAAAGCTTCGGGAGTACTGCGACCGCATCCATACTGTACCCTGTCGGAATCTCCGGTTAAATCAAACAGTATCTGGGAGTTTCCGAAAATTATGGGTACGCTATTTTGGGGTTTTTATAATATGGATCCTAGTATTTAGGGAACTATAGTAGGGTAGCTTTTTCCGACGGAAACTTGCAATCTAAGGGGGCACTGCCCCTAAGAATCTCGAAAGCCACAGCTATGCCCGGTCCCCGTCTCGAGCCTTGGAGGCTTCAGGCCGGGAAGTCCCCCCGAGGCCGTGTGCCTCAAGGGAAACCCTGGAGCTTGGGACCCTCGGAGAATTGCAAATTGCAACATAGGCGCCCTTTTTTTTGGGGTGCATTATTACGTATACTGTCGTCATAATAAGGAGCCCTCCAGGAATAATGTTGACAAATTCTTCAGGCTTCTGTATCGGGAAGGTAAAAGGGCGGATAACCTGCTCATGATCATGGATCTTGTATCCTGATGGAGAAACCCTAAACCCTAAACCCCCCTAAACCCTAAACCCTAAAACCCTAAACCCTAAACCGTGAGACCAAATGTTTCTTCTGTTGTGAGCACGTCGGGCCCATTCTCCAGCGCGTAACCCAGAGCCTCCAAAACCCCCTTAATTAAGGAATATACTTTAAAATTATAATAGGGCCCCTTATATGATTTAAGGTATATTCCCTAATTAAGGGGTTTTGGAGGCTCTGGGAACCAGGTTTAAGATTAAGGTCTTGCTGCTTTAGTAGAGTGCTCTAGCTGCTCATCAGCAGTGGCTACGGTGCGACCATGGCTGTCAGCTGTCTGTGCAAGAATCGCCTGAGCCAGACTGCACAATTCCTGAATCGAGGGTTGAAGTTTCATAGCTTCCACGGGGTCCTGGCACCAGGCGGCACATACCATAACAAGTCGGGAACATTCTGACAACGTTGAGCTGTCGCTTTTTCCAGGACGGTGTGAAGGTGCTTACCTAACTTAAATTGGATGTGAAGCCTGGCTTGGCTGTTCTGAGTAGCTGAGGGTTTGGGGGTTTGGTCTAGGAGCTGCCTGCAGGTTTGGATGTACATCTGCCTTTCGGAGCATAATACATGAAAGGGATGTGGGTGCACATGGCACAGAGGTCTCGGACGTTAAATGGCCTTTAACGACAAAGTAGCATGGCCTGGCGTTGAATGCTTTCACGATCTTGAGTCGCTGTCTTCGGGCCCAAGTTATGGAAGGTGCAGAGACGAGGCAACAGGCATGCGTCAGGAAGTTGCGACAGCTGAACCACACGCAGACACACACACACACACACCACAGTAGCCATGCTGCAGCAGAAGCCATAAAGCCAAGACCCGACAACGCCAAAACCTAACCGAACACCTGTTCTAATTAGACCTATCATGCGGAACGACGGCCCAGTAGACCCTCAGTGCTGAAGCCCCACTAACCCTGCAAGCCCTAGCTTTTCAACCTGGCAGTGCGACCATGAGCGGTCTTCCTGCTCCCTGCAGCCATCGGACCAAACCCCTCCCCGGCCTGGATGAGAGGATCGGGTACGGAAGGTCACTCCAAGCCCCCGGAACTCAGCCCTTCAGCCCTAAACCCTTCAGCTTTCAGCCCGATGCCGATAAGCTGTGACTAATCCAGGCCCCTCGAGGTTGAACCCATCAAAACCCCCGCTCTTCGCGGGCGCAGGGTCATCGAAAAGCCCTTCAAAGACCCACAAAGCCCAACCCGCGCAGCTCCAGCGCCCTTCTCCGCTGGTTGCAGCATTCTTCGCTGCACCGAGCATGCTCACAGGAGGCAGATGTTAGGATTTCGGGTGGGATCTTAGGACCTGAAGGATTTTTCGAGTTGCACATTACAGCTGTGAGTTTCTTCTGTGACCCTGTCACAAATGCTTTTCAGGTGGGGCGGGACGCGGGGCCTGGGTCTAGTCTAGGGGCATTGATAAATAAAGTATGGTTTTGGTTCCTTTTATTATGATTATACTTGAATTTTCCCCAAAATCTAGTCGAATTAGTACGGCCCTTGTTGTCGATCGTCGTGGAATGCCAGCAGCAGGTTGCTTTCTTTGCTCAGGCTGAGCAGCTGAGGTTGTCAGACAGCAAACGCAAATTAGAGCTGAACGTTTGATCTCGGCCCCATGAACTGGACAAATCTCAAGGAGAAAGCTCAAAGTGGAGGGGGTCTGCAAACTGCAGACCCACGGCATCCCAGCTCCGAACCTCGAATCCTGATCCAGGGTTATGAACCGGAGCCCTCAATCCGAAAAGCTCGCGAGGTGGCTTACTTCAAAACTCAAAGGGGAAAAGGAGGGAACCTTAAAGGGGACCCCTACCCTATAATGGGCTATACAATGGGTATATAATAGCTATATTAAGGGTATATACCTAGGGGTCCTTATTAAGGGTCCCTCCTTTCACCGTTGGAAAGACGCAACCCCTCAGTCCTCAAGCCCAACCTCTTCCACCCGGGCGAGAGCCCCGTAATCCAGAAGCCTGCAACCAAGCCTTTAAGCATCAACCCTCAACCCGAATCCCGAAACTCCAGCCAATTAACCGAAAAGCAGATCATGCCCTGTTTTCCTGCACACTGTCTATACATTGCGATTGTTACTGGTATTATTATCTTTGCCTTTATGACTATCATTATCATGATGTTGGTGATATTTGTTATCGGAAAATTAATTGTTGTGAAAATCGTATCACCTTTACCATTATGGTTACTGTTACTATCTAGGTTGGATTTTGGGACATTTTTTATTTTCCTTATTTGGGTTTATAAGGGACCCTATATATAAATATTTTTCAGGGTGTTTAAAGGCCAACCCAGCTATGTTGTTATCGCGAATATTACCAACCCCGAGACGGAGATGCGGCTTGCTCAGAGGCAGACATGGTCTACGAGTCGCAGGGCAGAGCTACCTGCTACTCGACGAGGGTAAACATGTGGCCTTAATAATTACCTAGATTATTTTGGGGGCTCCATATTACAAATATACATAGTATCACGGGCCCCAAAACCCTATTCAAATTCTTAAGGCCCCTACAGTAGGTTTCTCCAGTGTGGGTTCTAGGTTCGGGCTCAGGGAAATTACGGTTTGTGATTTTGGAGCCCAGGTTGTGCATAGGTTAGGGTATCCGGCATTGTACAAAGCCTAGGAGCCTCAGCCCTAAATTCCTAAATCCTACAGAGCGGTATGATAAGCTAAGGGGCCTAGGTCTCGGGCCTTCTGAGGCAACTGGGAGCATGAGCCCAAGGATGATGATGCGCGGATCTCTGAGGTGGTTGAGTGGCCTCTCGGTTGAGAAGTTGACAAGACAGGGTTTAGGGGCTTTGAGTTTGGGGGTTTAGGGCTTGGGGTTGGGGGGGGTTTTGGGGTTTAGGTTTAGGCTTCTGAATTTTTGGACCCTGGACCCAAGATCATCCTAAGCCCTATAAAGTCTAATTCTTGAGCTTCAAGAGGATCTTATTTACGAAAAACTGCTCAGAGGCTTCAAAGGGGCATCCTGGAGACCATGCTATTCGCAGGGTTTTAGAAGGGCTCTTGTTAAGGACTTGAGTTTAAGTTACCATCATAAAAGGTTTCGGAAAGGATAGTACAGCTACTATAGATCCCAGTATGTCGTATATGGTAACATGACAGAGTCCAGGAAATAGTGTATTAAGCGTCCTCTGTGGTTGATAGTCAATATTACTTATGGTATTCCAGGCTGAGGGCGGGAGTAGGGTCGAGGGTTCAGGTGTCCTCAAATTTCGGGTTGATGTTTCGGCGGGCTTTCGTCTGCTATTTGTGGGATACAGGTTGTTTCAGAATCGAGACCCCTGCAACCCAAAGCTAGTAAATCGGCCTGATGCGGTCTGTGCAGGGCTGTTGAGACACTCTCTGTCAGAACAGCATCCACATGAAAGAATTCTGCGGCTCGCTTGTCTAGCAGGCTTAGCACTGTTGCTCAAGAAGGTGTTTTTTCGATGTGGGTTCTGCATCGGGCTTTTGCTGTTGCCTAATCTAGCACGCGTTAGATGTGAAGCTTTGCGCAACAGAGTTGTGTTGCATCGGAGCCGTGAGACACGACTATCAAGGTGCGCAACTACCTACCTTGTGATTTCAATCCCGCGTTGAGGATCCTCCGGCAAGGTTCCCTCATCCCCCAAGAGCCCCTTCAGGAACCCAAATTGAAATACTTTATCAACCCCGAGGTTCCAGCACCCTCGCTTCGCCACGCTGCATATACAACATGTGAACAGAGCTGAGCCGATTTCGGCTTCCGAGCTTGCAAGAGCCGCTTGGTGCAGAGTTTAGGGCTCGTCGCACATAGGGCAGGGGGATCACACCTGCTTCACGAAGCTGCGACCTAAGAAGAGGAAAGTGCTTGCCTTCGGATGTTGGGTCTAAGATTCAGGGGCAATGCTTCAACCCGGACCCGATTCTCGAGGCCCGAAACCACTACTTCACCCCATGTTCTGAACCAAAACACGGAATGTTTGGGGCTGGTCCTCTACGTTGCCTGCGCACTTGCAAGCGGTCAGGGGAGGGCACGCCAAAGGGGAAGGGAGGAACAAAACTTAACTAAGCGTGCCGCCACACACTTCTTCCATAAACCCTTGAAGTTCCAAAGTAAAGCGCCGCCCAAAACTCCTATGGAAAGATGAGCTCTTGCTGTAGCCTGCAAGGAAGGGCGCACATGGCTTGCAGCGTCTATCGCGGAGGTCTATGGTTCCTCGGATGCAAAGCTGTCCCGTACGACTGGTCTTGGGGAATCGGAACAACAAAAATGAAGGCCAGGGCAGTCGAAATGGTAGGTTAGAGAATCGTAGGTTATCGTACTGGCGATTGACACCCAAATATCCACATTACTAATGGTAATACAGGCAAGGAAACAGACCGGCACGACAGCAGATGCACTCTACCACTGGCACAAGAACAGGCAGCAGTAGTCGTGGCCAGCG